AACGACTTAGGGCCAGCACCTAGTACTACTACTACTAGTAGCGGCACTAGCGGAACAAACAAACTGAAAAGACACAAATCAACATGAAACAAAACACAGGTACACACTGAAATAATGACCAAAATGAACTACTTTGCACTCCATGATCTACTTTCCACTCTGAACGGCCTTCTCCTCGCGGTGTTTGCATGTGACATTCAAGGCTTAAGCCATCAATCACCTTCCCATGCCTGGATGCCCCGACCCACTCGACCACAATCGCTCAGAACTCCCGAGCCCGGTTTGCAAAACTCGCTTTGGCTCCAGAAGCCTTGGAGACCAGCTCCACGTAGCTGCAGCCTCTTTCACCGTAGCCTCCACGAGTCGTTTCTGGTTTCAGAAATGGCCAACCCGAAACCTTGGTCCACCTAAGCTCGGGCCACGCTGTCAGTGGTGGGGCTTGTGGCACGATGGTCCAAAGTCGCACAGGCCCCCGAAAAAACACCTAAATCAAGGAATTGAACATACTCAAAGGATCTTCATGTGACTTAAAGACTTAAAGATACATACTTGGAGCACGGTGTCTCGAAGGCCTAAGGTTGACCCATTGAAAAAATCGAATTCGGGGCCACAGCTGGGGGTATCGGTGCGAAAAGTCACAGAGCAAGCCAGGCCTTTTGTGGAAGGGGTGATGATCCAGTAGGTCGCATGGTAGAGATTGAACTTCCTTAGTTTAGGGCTTATAGGGTTTAGGGTTTAGGGTTTAGGGTTTAGTGCACACGATGCGGAAGGGCTCGACCCTAAAGCCTCTGCAACACTCGCGGTGGCTTGGCTTGGCACGACTCGGCCCCATCCCAAATCCAACCTACCCAAAGCTCAAATAGCCCCTTAAAACAACGAATTCCCTACTAGCCCACAGAGCCCTCAACCCCATCCAAAAAAGGTGTCAAAGTTTCCATATAAGACTCTAAACTCTCCTAAACCCCCTTGACCCCTCTCCACACCCTCCTACTCTCCTGAAGCCGAAACCACCCTTCTTTCCCCTAAACCCCTAAACCCTAAACCCTAAACCCATTTTACCCCTAAACCCCTGAACCCCTAAACCCCCCAAACCCCCTAAACCCCCAAAACCCCGAAACTCCGAGCATCTCTTCCGGGAGGCGGCAGCCGTAGTCTGGGCTCAGCCGGTGAGCCTCCGCTTCGGTGTTGCCGGGGCTTCATGCGGCAAATAAGGTTCCGTTTAGGGCTCAGGGGTTTAGCTTAGGGTTTTGGGCTTAGGGTTTTGGGTTTAGGGTTTTTTACGCTCTCTCAACTCGGACTCCGCCAGACGCGGTCTCTCGGTTCACAGGCAAATTGACTGATCGACTCAAGAGGCTAATCATCGGGGCACCGCACAGAGCATTCTCAAAAGCAAGTCGATACGAACCAGGGATTGCCGACGATCACCGAAGATTGGATGCATCGATCGAAGAAGAACGTCACCGAGCAAACTGAGCCCGAAGTGTTCCTAGCCCTAAATGGGCTTAGGGCTTAGGGTTTAGAGTCTTCAACACACCATCAACATGAGCATCAGCACCATCATCACCAACACCACCACCACATCGCCATCACCATCGAGAATCACTACCACCCTCACTACCTTTTCACTGCAAAAGCAAACACAGAGGCCAAATCTTTAGAAGAGCGACGGGGTCAGCAACAGCCGTGGTTCAGGGCCATCCATGGCAGAAGTAGGTAGGGTAGGTGGGGAGGGGCGTGGTGTGCAGAACAGATCAGCAATGGCACAGTGGCATACTGAGGTGAAGTCGGCAACTTGGAAACGCACACCTCCCAAGCACCAAAACCACGAGCTCAAGTAAGCCCGGAAGAATAAGCCAGTACATCCTCGCCTCATACCATGCGCCAGCCTGCGAGAGGAGTAAGGCCAAGCGTCGGTGGGGCTTAAGCTTAGACCCTTGGGGCACTGCAGGAAAGTAGCCGAGGTTTGCTGCAAAGAATGAACCCCGAAATCAGGCACTGGCCACAACACGCTCGAGTCTTTAGATACTGTAAGTTTGAACCCTCAAAACACAAGACAGCCAGCCCGATTCATACTCACGATGCCCCCTGAACCTTTAAGTATAGTATAGCTGAACCTTTAAGTATAGTATAGTACCCCTCTAAACCCTAAACCCGCAACCGTAAATCCTAAGACCTAACCCCAACCCTTGATCCTTTCGTTTCACAAAGACCTCCGAAGCCAACCCGTTTCTTTTAGCAGGCTTGCCCAGCTCACGCCTGAAAGCATCGTGCCGTTCTCTGAACAAGCAAGACATGTAATGAAAATGCAAACCTTAACCTTTCATGTTCACCTTGGAACCCAACCCAAAACCCAAAACCCAAAACCCTAACCCCCAAACTCTTAACCCTAAACTCTAAACCCTAAACCCTAAAGACCGTCCGACTTCCGCCTGTTGGCCCAGGAAGTCCAAGACCCGGTGCAGCTGGAAAAGCGTGATGCCTGGCAGCACGGGTTTAGGGTTTAGGGCCTAGGGGATGTTTACGGATGTTCGAGGATGCTTAGGCTTCACAGCCGCTTGTGCTGTTTCCGAAGGCCCTGAACCTGGACAGCTCTGCTTGAGGCTTCTCAAGGTAGGCATCCCTACCTCTCGGCTTCAAGAAGCCTGCAGGGGGTGCTTCAAGTCGTGGTTTTGGGGGTTGATAAAGGGGTTCACCCGAAGCCTGGCACGCCAAACCCGAAAGCTTACAGCGGAGAGCGCCAGGGTAGTTTGTCTCCCCAAACCCCTGAACCCCTAAACGCCTAAACCCCTAAACCCCTAAGGTCCTAAAGCCTAACCCTAAAGTTAGGGGACATGAGCTGGAAGGTCTGGGCTTGGAGCTGATCGGTGCAACTTCGCCAGCGACATCTCGCAACATTGGGGACACTGGAAGTTGCCATGGATTCTCCGTCATGAGTACAATGCACTTCTAAAGCCTACACCCAAGGCCCACTGCAATAGATCGTAGGGGCAAGCCCCCGAATATCACTGCTTCTCGACGCTGATTTTCCTCTCACCCAGAGGGTCAGTTGAGACCTCTGCCATCCAGGTTGAGATATGAGACATCGGATTTTAACATGGAGGGCTTCGAGGCAAATACACATGCTTGGGCTGGTTTGCTTTGGGATATCTGTTGGGGCTTTTGCATGTTTTGAATGCAATGTAGGACACCGGGGCTTCACCTTCGGGTCCCGTGGACCCTGGCAGTGCTTCAGCATTGAGGTCGCGAGCTGTCTCTACGTGTAGACTAAGCTCTCTGTCTTCGTGAAAAATTGGAGGCGCTCAGATCTGCTCAGAAAAAACTTAGCGGCTGCCGTAGCCACCCTTGCGAGTGGGGATGTCCTCACCCCAGCCGGCGGTGCCGCCGTTGCCGGAATAGCCTTCGGGGCGATCGGCAAAGAGCGCATGAGAACCGGCGCCACCACGGAAGGCTTGCTCCAGGTGGATCTTGAAAGGTCCGAGCTGGAAGATGCCGGGGAGGGTGGTGTCGGTCTTGCGCTCCTCCGCGAAAGGACGCATGCGGTAGCGACGGCCCTGTTTGTTGCAGATCTTGAACATGTCCTTCTCTCCAATGAAGAAGCCCTCAGCGACCACGAGCTGGCCAATGCCCTGGGGTCCGACCTCCATCTTGTCAAGCCGCCATCCGTTGCGGGCCACGGCCGGTCCTTCAGGACGGCTCAAGCCACCGCCGCAGAAAGCCTTCAAGCACGTCTGGGACCACAAAGCCACGCCGACCACGGCGGCGAGGGCAAAGGCACGGGCTCCAAGACGCGCCATCTTCAATGACCTGTGATCCCTCTAAAGCTGAAGCCGAAATCTGTCAGAGAAGTTCGAACCAAGTCTCTTGCGGAGGTAGGGTGCCTTGTCAGATGCAGACAGCCCCAGACAGCCCTAAGCCCCCCTCCCCCCACGAAATTCATGCTTCGTGCTCTCTTGCGGCTTTTTTCGCGCCTCCTGCCCAGGTGGTCAGTCAGAAGGCTGTGCAGACCGAACCTGGTGAAGCCACCGTCTTGACTCTCCGGTTCTGGAGCCCTTTATGAGGTCTAGGATCTCTGGTTTAGGGCTTAGGGCCCAGGGGTTGAAAGATCTATGGTTCGGGGCCTCGGGCCTAGGGCCAACGGCGTTGAGAAAGTGCGGTGACGGAGGCAGCCCCTGTCCGGTTCCACCGTGCACCTCTCCCTCCCCGCACTATCCAATTGGGAGCAACAACTACCCAAGCTCGAGACCAAGGGTTCCAACACTAAAGTTACCAAAGCAAAAGTATGGCATGGTATAGCGCATTACATAGTATTGAACATTATATAGTATAGTACCAAAAATAGTGCAGTACATTATGGTAGTATGATAGAAACAAGAAATTACGAACTTGCGAAAGACTGAGCCTCCAAACATGGAGGGTCAAGGGCTCCAGTGATCTTACGTGCTTTGCGGGTGCTCTGTAACTTCTGGCGTTCAAACGCTCGAGGTTTACGGTTTTTTGCCTTTGGGTTTAGGGTTTAGTGCCCTAACTAAGCCCCCTAAAGGTTTGAGGGCTCAGGGTAAAGCTTGGGGACTGGGCCCGGGATGTAGGACACCGGGGCTTAAGCTTCGGGTCCCGTGGACCCTGGCAGT